GCGCGTACCATTCAGTATGCAGTTCAGTTTGCCGCAATCTCCACAGTATGTACCCAACCTCTGATACTAGGTTTTTCATATTCATTTCCAGAGACACAGACAGACACATCCTTTGTTGTTGTGCTGTGGAGGGGAAGTGTGTTGTAAACAGAGAGACCATGAAATTGATCAGTACCACTTCACTGCGGGTGCAGAGAAAGCGTCTGGAAGGATGAGAAAACACCTAGACCCAAATAGGAATTGTAATTGGGAGCTTTTCTGTCTTTCTGGTTTTTGCCGTCCCACCCATGCACCAGAAATAAGTGGCAGAGAGTGGTGGAGACTTCTCTGATGATCAAGAGATAAAAATTCTGTAACTGCACTAAAATATGGATGTGCACTAAAAATATAAAATGTGTCCCCGTGGGGCAAAGGATGCAGAAACAGGGAGAAGAAAGCAATGTGGAATGATACTGAGATAGAGACAGATGGGTTGAGATAGTGAGAGTAAATGAGCGTGAGAAAGAGACAAAAAGATGAAAAGAAAAGAAAGGTGTGTGATTTCTCCTTGTTCCATCCACTGTAGGTGCTCAGCACTTGGGTGTGGAAAACACTCCCATGTGATCATATTTGCAACATACCCCTGCTGTTAGTGTTCAATGAAATAAGCCATGTCATTGTAAATATAGGAAAGACTGGTTTAAACAAAGAAATAACAAAAAAAGCTTATCTACATAAATCCAGAATGGCAGTACATGTAGCTTCAGATCTTGTCTTTTTTATTCCTTAATAGTTCAACAGCATGGACACCAAAACCAATAATAAAGTGGATGGTGTCTCTTGACAAGCGTAGTTCCCACTATCACCAGAATCATGTCTGCTTTCAGTGTTATTCTACCCAAAGGCCTGGAGAGCCTAAGCAATTCATGTTAGTGACGCTATGCACCATAGTTTAGGAGTCTCTAGTGGGTTTGAAGTTTGTCAGTTATGAACCATTTGGTTAAACTGTTTGCTTATGAATATATTTGCCTTGACTTTATTCTTCCTCACTGTCTATAGCCAAAGTCATGAAGTTTTGAGAAAAAATAAATACACCATTATTCCAAGGGGGAAATCGATCATTCAGGAAAATATGAAAGCCTTTAATTGCAGCTTGACTTCACTAACTGGTAACTGCTTTTGCCTTTAAGAAGCAGGACTGTGCATTCTATTCCTGCACCGTAGACCGTAGAGTGTGTAATCTGCTTCAGGAGCTGCCACGCTTTTTGCAGTTCACAAAATAATTATTATGGACAGCATGGGATTTGTGTTTGAAGAACCACAATATGGAGAGCAGACACACACCTAAGCCCATGTGCACACACCCACGCGTCCATGTCCACACACAAACACGGTGGTACGCTTTTGATTGGGTTCTTGTTGGTTTCTGAGTCTTGATAAAAGGCCTTCTCTTGAAGGAAATGAGTCAAAATCAATGTTCATACTCTTCTTTTTGTTCCCTTTTATCCACACTTGTTTTTCACTCGTGAACATTGGCATGCACGTGCGCCCTGACACATGCAAGGAGACACCACACACACACACACCTCCATGGTCCCATCCATGCAAACATTCGGAGCAATGGGTAGTTGTGAGAGAAGGAGAGCAGAATCCATTTTCCTGACATAATTTCATCTGGCAGGAGTGACAGATACTGTTTTATGACTGAATGGGTTTTTCCAAGCTATTAGGAACTCATTCTCCCATAATGCAACTCGCCACGATGATAACTCTCCCAGAGAGACCGGCAAAGAGAAGGTGCTCAGCATAAAAGTCCCTGAACATAGTTTTTCTCCATTCTTTCATCTTGTTCAGCTGGTTGATTATAGCCCTGAAGTGCATATATGTGTGCATGTGTGTTTGAAAGAGAAAAGATGTATCGCTCCTCTTTGGAGTTGTGTGTGTGTGTGAGAGAGAGAGAGTGTCATTTCATCACCAAGTAGCTGTGTTATCAGTTACAGGGTGATGATGCGATAGGAATGCCTCCACGGCCTCTCACAATGCAGTAATCCCACCAGCACTATCACTGGAACCTCCCACCGGCCCAACTGTCATCTCACATGCACACGTTCGCTCTTGCATCGCTCCGCTATCTTCGTATAGCATGCCTGTAATATCTGGCATTACATCCATGACGATTCAGCGTTCTCCTTCTCCCCGCCGGTCAATAAATGGTATGCTCCCTGGTTTTCTCAGCGTTAATTTATAACCTCCCTCTTTCTTTAAATTGAGCAAAGGAGGGACAGGGGAGGGAGTGGGGAGCAGCGGGACAGCAGAGGAATTGCTGAAGTCAGCTTCTTCTACTCTCCCACCTCCTCGTCCTCTCTTTTTTTGCCAAACATCAGAGCAGACCATTTGTTTTTTCTTAGTTGATTTTCTCATCTGAGCGAATTACAACCACTTTTATGAAGACCAGATAAATTTACTGAATGGCTCCAACGTTTTCAAAGCTGTATGTCTGTTCAGGTGTAGGTTTACAGGACATCTGTTGTGCCCAACTGTGCATATAACAGTAAAAAAAAAAAAAAAAAGCACCACTTCCATCGAGGACAAATAGACTTTAGGGAGGACTTTATAGGTCACTTTCTTCCATTTTTTAACTCACACTTTTGATGAGTAATCCAAGCCACTTGAGATGCTGCTACTGCCACTATCCCCTAAAGTCCACAGGGAATACGTTCACTCCTGTTTCTTGCACCTGGTGTGTATTCTCAGGATTCGGCAGAAGATGCTTTGTTAGAAACCGGATTAGAATTAAAGAGCACACAGAATAGGAATCAATGTCGGGGTGCAGTATCAAGTAAGATCTCATCATGCCAGTACTCTGATCTTCCCCCGATGTCCAAAAACATACATGCTGGGTTAATTGGTGACTCTAAAGTTGCCCGTAGGAGTGAGTACCTGTCTTTCTCCTCTGTGTGTGGCCCTGTGATGGACTGGTGACCCTACCATTGGCGAAATAGAAAATGGATGGATCAGTTTTGTAGAAAGTTCAGTTTTCGGTTGGTCTCACCATAGAACCTTGTTCCGCATGTGGTACATACCAGCTGCTTTTTAGTGAACTCCCATTTATTTGTTTTTTTGTTAGTTTCTCTTCCTTTTTTTTAGCTTAAAGGGGTTTTATTTCAGTGTGTGTGTGCGTGCGTGTGTGTATGTATATGTATATACGCTGACAAATACATACACAGTGTTACTTCCAATGTTTCATGATTAGGACTTTTCAGCCTTGTGTTAACCAGTCGAGGTGGGTCCCTACCATCAGCAGCTGATGCATTTGCGTTGGTGGGCATTCGTGGACAGGAGGTACGTATCATGCACCAATGCCTGGTGCAGTCCAGCTCTTCCAACCTGAGACTCTTCCTTGGATATCTGCCACCATGATGATCATTGGTTCTTGTTCTGGTAGCTGCCACCACCACCGGTCACGGAGCATTAGTGCTCTGGGATTCTTCTGTCTCCCGTGTGCTCTTCCAGTATTGTTCAGTACATTTGTATGCACATGCACCAGGTAGATGAGAAAGTGTTTCTTTGCCTAAGAAAGGAATCGAGGATTAGATTCATTCCAGAGCACACTGCGTCAGAGCCTTTCACCCTCTTTTGTCTCACAATTTCACAGAAAAAACACAAAAAAACTTTATGTTATACTTAATATCCGTCAAAAGTTTCTTGTACCTGTCGTACAAAAGCCAATTGTATTAATTTGTTTAAAAAGTTTTTGTTTATATGCACCCTGATTCCTAAGTTAAAACGCAAATTTATTCAAGCGTGAGTGTAGATATGTAAACTCACTCAGAGCAGCTGGACCAAGACAGATAGCCGAACCTGGATGATCCCTGGAGAGTGAAGGTGACAGCGACCGCACACATGCCACCTCAGCGTAAAGTCGAGTTTCTCTCCCTTCAACACAAAATCCTACACACACACACACACACACTCTGGTTTAGTTTGAAGGATGTAGCTGACAGCACCGGGCTGTTGACGGCCACGCTGCCTAAAAGCAGAGAAGAGATTCTAATCCCTGTCAGAGGGTAGAAAACCACTCAAAGCAAAACAATTAAAATGCTAATTTCATTTCCTCCCCTCTGCTCGCCTGTTAATGACTAAGCCAAGCGTGCAGGCTAAGCAACAACAGCGTGTGATTGAGTCATGTGTTTGTACGAGGGTAACAACCACTGACTCATGACTCCAGGGTCAAAGGTGTGACAGATTACCATTGCCATGTGGATCAAGTGTGTAAAAGTCTCAAATGGGCGCTTTGAGATTTTTTTTAAATGAATCGATCGTAAACTCGTCACCAGTTGACAAAATCATCGCTGGACAGTCACATTTGTGTCGATGCATGAAATGCTTGGTCTACTCCACTCCACAGCCCAGCCGCTCTTGAACGTGGAGGACAGGAAGATGCTCGAGACGGGGGGGATGTTCTGAGATGAAGGGAAAAGAGTCAGAGCTGGGGTTTTTGCTATTTTCTGGCTCCTGTATTATTAATAATTGAAAGTCAAGCAAAGCCTTAGCGCGTGTTGCTGTTCCCGTCTTCCTCTCCGCCTTCACTGTCTGACAAAAACACTCATACACACATGCCCACACATATATACTCGCAGACGGATGGGTGAAGAGCAGCCATAGGGGGATCTGTGACATCACAGCTCTGCAAACTTTTTAAATTATTCAGTCACTACTACAGTCCTGCATACCCGTATACCTCTGTCTCTCTTACAGACACACGTACACACACACATTAAAAAACACATAGATAGATAGATACTTTATTCATCCCCAGGGGGAAAATTTGGTGTGTGTGTGCATGTGTGTATATATATGTATATGTACATATATATATGTTTACACACGCGCACACACACACGCGCACACACTAACTGCAGCAACCTTCCTTATCCTTCTCTTGCTCTTTCCAGATGGGTAAGCTGGACAATGGCAGCCTGACTATCAAGTATCCAGTCTGGCCCCGTTTCAACTCCTTCGGTGATGCCGAGCTGGACGACAACCACCTGTCCATCGTCACTTTAGAGGAGAAACCTTTCGTCATTGTGGAGGATGTGGAAAGACTCACGGGCACCTGCATGAGAAACTCCGTGCCCTGCCGGAAGCATATCAAAGAGTAAGTCTGATGCTGATCTCAAGAGCATTACAGTCACTTCTTTGCTGAAATGAGTGTGAGAAAATTCTCACAAATGTGTGTTGCATTTTTTATTAGTAAATAGTACATAACAAAAATGAATTAAAATTACCTTATTTTTGCCATTAGGAAACGCTTTAAACACTATGGGGTCCTATTCATAGTGAGGCCTCAGTAAAGTTGATATCCGTGAGCCCAATTTCTCAGGTTTTAATTATCAGCTGAAGAGAATTTAGCTTTTTTCCAGGAAGAGTTGTGGAGCGATGGTGGATTAGCACCATCGCCTCACTGCAAACGAGTTCTTGGTTCGATTCCCCGGGGGGTCCCAGGATCCTTCTGTGTGTAGTTGGCATGTTCTCCCTGTGTCTGTGTGGGTTTTCTCCGGGTTCTCCGGCTTCCTCCCACATCCAAAAACCTGGATGTTGAGTTGATTGGATATTCCAAATTGCCCTTAGGAGTGGGTGTGAGTGTGCGTGGATGCTTGTCCTTGTGTGTCTCTGTGTGGCTCTGTGATGGACTGGCGGACCATCCAGGGTGTACCCCGCCCTCTCGCCCTTTGACCACTGGGTTAGGCTCCGGTCCCCCCACGACCCCATTAGGGAATAAGCGTTTTACGAAAATGGATGGATGGAGTTCTTGAGCATGTTGGTATTATTTAACAAAGACTCAACACACAAATCACCTGTTCACACTTCTGATAAGAAAGATGTGGTCTGTGCAGTAAGCCGAGGCATAATTCAGGTGATGGCCATTCCCGTTGTCTCTGGCACTGCTGCTTTGTTCCTCATGATCGATGACAGAGGTGCAAGGTTGGCCCTGTGCAGCAGCCTCTCTCATCCCGCAGTAAATGGAGGTGACTGCTGAACTAAGCACTTCATTTTGGTCTCTTACCAATGTGCTCCCTAACACCCAAATAGCTTGAGCCTCTCCCCTGTTCCTGATGCACATGCACAGTTTGTGTGTATCGATGAGAGGCTTGAGCAGCACTGAATCAAAGCATGCAATTGGTTTGTGGAAAAAAGTGCAGCATTGACAATCTTACATTAAGTAAACCACAATATAGGAGGCATCACCCTCTCTTTAGAAGGATTATTATCATTAATCGTATATCAGATCCAGATTAATCCATGCAAGCATGCCATAAAAGTATTATTCTGTACTGGAAAACACGCAGTTGTGGACAGAAAGTTAGACTTGTGTCTACCACCGCTATACTTGCCCATTCCCCTATCCCATGTATATATACGAAAAAAGAGCTACATATATGTACACATGTATAGCTGATTGGGAAGTGAAAGGGTCTCAGGGATGAGGCGGAAAAAGATGATCATCCAGAATCACTGTGAAGTAGGGCAGAGGATGAAGCCAGCCCATGTCCACTTTGTGTTGCCACATGTCTACTCACAGGCCAATGCATTTGGCTTTGTTCCGCGTCCCACAGCGCAATTCCCACTCAAGCATCCGTAGTGTCCATTTGGAGAAAGAGGGATAGATGGAGGTTATAAAAGTGGCAGAGAACAGGGAGTGGCGGAAGGCTTGGATTGGGGTCTAAAGGTTATCCATGCATACAGGATCATAAACTCACTCATCCAGTGTGGGCCTAAGAACAAGCCATATTCACATGAACACACACGATCATACACGGACACACACTGCCCTCTCTGGAGACCCCTCAGGCCCTATAGTGTTTCTATATCAAGTTGGCCGGGCAAGTTCACAACATTGCCTGCTCTTACTGCCTGAACTCTGCTGTAGCTCTCGTAAGTTGGTACACTCTGTTCTTGAAGACAACTATTAAAGTTCTGCTCTCTACGCCACGGCCAGTCCATGTCCGCCAGCCACTTAGTTGTTCATTTTGCTCTTATTTGTGTAATACTATTGCACAAGAAGCTACAGCATGACAATTATAAAGTGATTATTCTATCTCCTTATTTTGACTAATTTTGCCAGATTGTTTTTTCTATTGTCTTTTTTTTTATTCTTTGTCAACTTTGTGCCCGAGCTGTTGTTAATCTAAAGGACGAGGTTATCTTCTTCTAATTACCACACATCTGAAAGTTAAATGAGACTCCCAGGTGGCCGTGTGCTCTTGTGTTTGTGTGAGCGAACAGTGTCTGAACTGCTGTTCGCAAATTCATATACGCAGATGGCACAGGGCTTACAGATGCAGTGCCGTCAAACCCTCCTCAAGAGACACAGAGGAAGAGGGAGGGTAGTTGCTTTTTTCCTGTCTTCTACCTTCCCAGGCATAAGGGCCCCAATTTAAAGGTGAAAAAGTGTCAGGGTGATATTTGGAAACTGCAAGAGCAAGTCGTATTGAGCCATCCATAGAATGTTTAGACTCTTCTCTAATACACATGCTTGATGATGATAATAAATGTTCTCTAGTTTTTTTTTTTTTTTTCATAAAGAATAATAATTAGCTATTGCTAATTATATGTGTTTCTGTGATTTTCTTTTCTTTTTTCTGCAGCAATACAACTGAGGCTGGTGGGACCTACATAAAAAAGTGCTGCAAAGGTTTCTGCATTGATATTCTCAAAAAAATTGCTAAATACGTGAAGTTCACCTATGACCTGTACCTGGTTACAAACGGCAAGCATGGCAAGAAAATCAACAATGTTTGGAATGGGATGGTGGGAGAGGTGAGCTGAGCTGATATCGGGGGTGATCTAACACTCTCCTTTTATATAGTGTTGTGACTGTTAGAGTAAACGAACAATATAGGTGCTTTAAAATGAAGGTCTTTGAATTATCTTGTACACAAAATGTGCTGTTCAAATAAATTTGTCTTGCCTTTTATCAGAGATTAACTTAGTTTTCCCACTATCTGCTTCGTCTTTATGGTATCACTTCTTTTCAATGAATAATGACACAGAGTAGCTTGTGGTGTTTTTCTGTGGTTATCTTATTCTAAGTCTTGAGACAAGATTAACTGAATTTATGTTTTTTTTCTGTACTTCTGTAAAAGCAGTCAGTGTCATATAACTGGAACTTTTTTTCACATTTCTCCTCCGTTTTCTCCATTTCCTTCCATCATTCATCCCTAAACTCTCCCTCTCCTCCATCTCTAATCCCTGCATTCTTCCCTGTCTACTCCAAACTAAAAAAGGTGGTCTATAAGAAAGCCGTCATGGCCGTCGGATCACTGACGATCAATGAGGAGCGTTCTGAGGTCATCGATTTCTCCGTCCCGTTCGTTGAAACTGGGATCAGTGTCATGGTCTCACGTAGCAATGGAACGGTCTCTCCATCAGCTTTTCTCGGTAAGTGGCTGCGAGTTGACCCAGCAAAACAAGCTAAAAAATTATCTGTCTCGTATGCTTATGTGTTGCATATGTATTTGCTATGTCTGTGTGCGTGTGTGTGTGTGTGTGTGTGTTCCCTGAAATGATCAGCAGACCTGAGATATTATGTAGTCTCCCTGCACAGCTGTCAATACTCTTTTATCTGAAGGATTTTAATCAGTCCATTGCGTTCGTTTGATGCGTGGGCATCCCCATCCACACCACTGAAACAGTGGAAAACACAAGTTGGTAAACATAGGCGCAGTCGCCCTCAGAGTTACACATGCTGACATGTATGCAGCATGCCGTTAGTGCAGCGAAAGTGGCAATTATGGGGGCTTAGAGAGAAAATGGCTGCTTGCCAGCGCTCACACACGCATTGGCCGCCCCATGCCAGCAGCGCCCCCCCCGTACATTAGAGCAGAGTTTAATCTCTGCAGCAGTGTTGCGAGCTCCGAGGGAGGACAGGACTGCTGACGCCAGACTTTCCTCCACCGTGCGCGGTCAGAGTGTGTGTGAAGGGGTTTCTGCCGGGCCTCTGAGCCTACAGGAGCTGGCTTCGTAATGTTCTTTCCTCACTATGTGCGCATATTGATTTGATCCTTCGGTTAATTGCAAGACACAGGCGGGGGTAAAAAAAAAAAATTGGGGAAATTCATGTGCAGGATATTAAAGTTTGGACCGAACATATGTTAATACTTAATCTCTCTCTCTTTCTCTCTCTTTCTTTCTCTCTCTTCTAGAGCCATTCAGTGCATCAGTGTGGGTAATGATGTTTGTGATGCTCCTACTGGTGACTGCAATGGCTGTCTTTATGTTTGAGTATATCAGTCCTCTTGGCTTTAACAGAAACCTGGCTCAGGGAAAAGGTGAGCATCCACAAAAGACGCAGAACCGATTGACACTTTCTGACAAAATAACGGCTTGCTAGGTCAGTGTTAACACCATCCCTCCATCTTGTCTTCGATCTGTTTCTCAGACCCCCATGGTCCCTCTTTCACCATGGGCAAAGCAGTGTGGCTGCTGTGGGGTCTGGTCTTTAACAACTCTGTGCCAGTTCAAAACCCAAAGGGAACCACCAGCAAGTTCATAGTGTCAGTGTGGGCCTTCTTTGCTGTCATCTTTCTGGCCTCCTACACTGCCAACTTGGCTGCCTTCATGATTCAGGAAGAGTTTGTCGACCAAGTGACTGGGCTCTCAGACAACAAGGTAAGAAAATAGGAACGGGTGTTTTTTCGAATCTGACTTGTTTTTCCATTTTTCAGTAGAGATTCTAGTTGTAATCATGCTGGTGATAACTAACTCACTCAAAATCACAATGAAAATGCTTTTACCCTGCTGGATTCCCTGAAGTCTTATTTTTTCTTACATAAAAGTTGAAAAATCCATTAAATCGAATAAAAAGCTAAATTCATATTTTTTTAAGCGGACGTTTTTCCAAACAAAGTTACATAAACAGTTTAGCAGCAGTGTGTTTGTTGGGCAAAAATAAAAATCACTTAAACCATAACCTGAAACATTAAAGGCCAAATTTGTTAGTTCAGTGTGCTATAACTGTTTCTGTATAAGACAAGCTTCATGTCAGCATAACCTTTGTATGTATTCAACCATAAATTACAAAAGAAAGAACAAACAAACATATGCATGTTTCCAGAGCTGTACATCACCACAACCAACACATTGTCAGGTTGGACATGCGGTACAATGAAGACGGGTTGGAAAATAAAAGGAAAAGGTCAAGCCCAATGTGGAGAAATGGAAAAGAAAAGCAAGATAAAAAAGGGCACAGAGTTCCTGGGGACAGAGATATAGATGTATGGAGAGATACTAGCAGAGAGAGGCTGATGTCAACGGCTTTGACAACATGCAGAAGGAGGAGAGGGGAGGATGGAATAAAGGGGTACGTCAACTGGCAGGAGGGTGACTGAGGACTAGCAAAAGGCCAAGACGTACAAGATGGCACAAGACAACAAACAGACAGATATGGGCCAGGCTGACAGCTGAGGCTGGGGAAGGAAAGGCATGAGGGAGCAGAAAGAAAATGATATATATGGAAAGACAAAAAGGAGCGAGGAGGAAATGAACCAGACAAAAAGGGTAAATGACCATTCAGAGAGACATATGGAGGGAGGCAGGAAATAGAGCTACGACATGATGACCTGTATTCCCCATGAAAATGCTTGTTTTAAATGGATTTTCGTAGAAAGCTACATAAAAACATTATTCAAGGCTCCGTGGTGCTAGACGCTCCCCAAAAAACCCCAAATCAACTTGTTTTGGCTTCATTAATGCACAATATATCACTTTTTATTAAACCCAAATGTAAGTCCAGTTTTTTTTTTTTTTATTCTAGGCTTATTCTATATTTTTCTATACAAAAAAAGTTCTGAAAGTTTTAGTATTTGTTTGAATCATTTATTATTAAGTGTAGTGGGCCGTGAGTGGACCAGTCTGTGGTCTTTTAAGCTGCCCCATGGCCAAAGGTTGGTTTTCTGCTCTTTCATTTGTCTCTGCAGTGAGCTTCTGCCCACACCCTCTGGTGTTGTTCTTAAAAGTGTTTGGTAATTATTTAGTAAGAGAAGAGTGCCCTCCAAAACTTCCCAATCCCACTTTTCCCAGGGAGCTTTGAAGATTCTCATCAGCAAGCCCTGTGCAATATTTACCCTCCTGTGACCCTAAAGCTTCCGCCCAACCTCAAGAGAGACACAAATGAAGGAAAGTGGAGGGAAGAGAAGAAAACAATACTAAAGACTATGTTAGGAGAGAGAGCTTCCTCAGGGCTGTTGCTTGTCATGCTGACAAACACACTGCATGACATCACCACTTACGTATGCGTGCACCCACAAATGCAAAGTGGAGTTTGACTTGAAAACGCATCCTCACTCTGACCTGATTACACAACAGATGCACATGGATGCAGGCAGATACAGCATGTATCATTACTTTGAAACATTTGCATGTAGGGATAAATCTGTGCTGTAAGCAGCTCACATAAACAGTGCAAACTCAAAACAAACAAACAGATGAGTTTATGCGTGTTCAACAGACTCGGAGCAGAACATCAATGCTAATAATATGCTAATAAAATCCTTCATGCGCTGCTTAAATGTTGAGTCAGTAATGCGCTATGTGAAAATGTAAGAGCTAAACAGACATGAAGATATTGGAATTGTCATGCATTCTGGCTCTTAAGAGCTATTTTAATTATGTCTATGGAAACCGCACACACATTATACTGTATGGAGTCAAAAATAAAGCTGGTAAGGCACGCTTGTCCTGCAACTGTGCACAGTGGTGTCCTTTTTGTGACACTTTTTGTGTCAGAGTGATAACGAGCTCACCACTATAAACCTCTTCACACACACAGTTGATACGGTGTGCCTCAGAGAGAACATTGGACTTGGGCTGTAAGGAAAAACTCAGAAAGCGTCAGTACAGAATAAAAGCAGCCTTAGAAGTATGAAAGAAATAGCAGTAAAAAATACCTTCAAAAAAATACCTTTAAAAATCTACTACCGGTAATTAAATAAAGAATTGTTGGCTCTATGGAACAAAACTACAGAAAAACATATAACATGCTTAATCACAGGAAAGTGTAAAATGTTTGAATTTGTAATAAATAAAAAAAAGATAAATTAACTACACATTAAGATATATCTAATATTCATATGCTTCATTTTGCCTCCACTTTGTCATGTTATGCTTTCTAAAAAACATGTATAAGCTAGTCTTATTAAAAATAATAGTATAAGCCAGTCTACAACGTTTCTCAAAGCTGTGAATTATATATTTTTCCAAAAGTAATAAGAAATTGTTCAGAAGACGAAGATAACAAAAAGGTTTATAACAAAATAAAATTATGACAACCAGAGGCCAAATTGCAGAGTTTTTTTTTTTTCTGCATGACTAAGACCTGTTGTCATTCTATCCCAATACAGTTTCAGAACCCATATGCATACTCACCTCCATTCCGCTTTGGGACGGTTCCAAACGGATCCACCGAGAGGAACATAAGGAAGAACTACCCGGCTATGCACCAATACATGGTGAAGTATCATCAGACTGGAGTCGTGGACGCACTTGTCAGCCTCAAAACAGGGTAATGACGCAATCAGTGCGGGGACATTTTTAAATTTGTTTGTCTTTTCTGTTTTTCTCTGTCATTTGTGTCAAAAGATTTTCCTTATAAGAATGTGTGCAACTTTATGTGAGGAAGTGTACTTCTCAAGAGTGTAAATAGGTGTGTGCTTTTGTCTGTGTGTGACAGGTCCGCTGAGACTGTGGATGAATGGGCTTTCTCACTGAGAATACCAGCAGCTATTTTTAGTGTCAGTTTCTATAGTAGGACTGATGGTGCGTGTGTGTACGTGTGGGGGAAGAATATGTGGCCAGGGTGTTGGTACATGGCTAACCAAGGACATATTAAAAGGTTGGGATGGTGTGAATGGGTTAGTGTGGGCGGAATGAAAACAAAAGGAAAAGAAATGGAGGAAAACTACAGTGCTGAGTGAGCAAACTGGGTGGTGTAAGAGGCCAAGGCATTATCTTCTGACCGGTGGAAAGCAAAAGAAAAAAAAAATGATGGAGCACACTATGAATGGATCGGCCAAGGGACAAGAGAGGGAATAGAAAAACGTGGTTCCAAGAGAATAAAGGAAAATTGAGTGCGTATCCCATTATGAGAATGTAATTTATGCTCCCTGATCTTTATTCAGTTATATTTTTCAGATAATTCATCCCTCATCCATAAGTCATAAGACAACTGGAAGCATGCTAGTAAAGACAGCTTGAAACACCATCTTTAATACTCTCAGCTCACTTTTGACTAGTATTAACATGTAGCATACAAGTATTTAAGTAAACTAATGCTGCATGCATGCTGGTGAAATGCTTTGAAATAAAAACATCCACTCGTTTCAACACACCCGGCTCCCTGCAGGTGTCGGCAGCCTGTAATACCCTCATTGATATTTCTATTCTGTGGTATTAGCAGATGAGCAACACTGCAGCATTCAGCTTCTTGAGTCCCGATGGCTGGATTAGTTCTGATCACATAATGTTGTCAGGCTTTTCACAGAGAGTCTTTAACAGCCGCAAGAACCAAAACTATGCGTAGAAGAGCTAAATTGATTTGATCACACAATGGGCCGTTGATTATGATGGATCCAATGTTTTGAATGTTTCAAGTGACTGAATAGGATGTAAATGGATTGAATGATTTATTTCAAACAAAAAGACTGACTTAATGTATTTCATGAGAAATATCAGTTAAAGTAAAATATCAATCCCCCATATATATATATATATATATATATATGTATGTAATGTATATGATTATGTGTAGTATAATTCAGGAGTTCCAAAATGATTCATCAGTTTAACACTGACAGTCTTTTACTTGGGGTATTTTGTGACTGCAATGATGATGAAACCCTCAATTGTGCAAAAAATAGTAATGTTGCAGAACTAATGCACCGAAAATATGACCATAACAAAATGTGTGATGTTACTGCTGATGTGTTCTCTGATCTTTACACTTTACATTATATGATTTCTTACATTTTTTAAAGGTGAAAGAACCGTAGCAGACATTAACACCATTGGCATGGTTTCCTCCTATTGGAAATATTAATTGTAGTCAACTCGCTGGATTCCTTGAATAATTCACATATTCCAAAAGAAGATGATTCAGCATCCCTTCAGTACATACAGGAAGCTAATATCATGGAATCCGATTAGGAAGCTGCTGCTATAATATATGTTGCATGCTAGTCCAGAAGAAAAGTTTAAAGAACTTTTGGGAGATGCTGACCAAAGTTTTAAAAAAAAACATGTTTTTATCAGGGCTACCTTCATTTTCATACCTATGCCTTACTCATCTCTGTACCCCTAATTAATCACTCCCAGCACTGCTCCATCTTCTTCTTCTAAGTACATATGTAATTTCTGGTAACCAGTGACCACTGCAAACAGGACAGCTGGATTCAAGGAAGACGGGGGATAGCCAAGATAGACTGATTGAGGACTGGTTAGTGGTTGGAAAGGCCACACAGAGTGGCCAGAAACCAGACCCATTAATCTTCGCTAGAGACTCCCAAAACTCACTGCAAAGGACACAAGCAGATGATAACCTACAGGTGCTCCAAGAGGTGAGGCAAATGATGGCAAGAATAGATAAAAACAATGAGAAGACCCTACAGGCATGTCGGTGCTGGTGGGAAAAAATTATCAGAGAAAGATGCCTCCAAATTCACCAGGGGAGTTTGTGTGTGTGTGCGGGGGGGATACTATCTTGTTGTTGAGCCGAAGCAATCCTGAGAATGAGGAAACCAACCACTGTAGGCACCAGAAAATCTCCTCTGGAAACCACTAAATGAAGGGCCAAAAGCCAGTGAGACACAATGAATGTTACAATTTCAAACTATACCAGGAGTTAATGTGGCCAGCAAAACTATGCAAACTGTCACATGTTGGTCTTCCCTGAAACCCTTACTTTGTAATCAAAGACTTTGGGGTACATGCAGAAGAAAACCATATTGGTGTTGGAGTTCACTGATCAGCAAGTAAGAAGTCCCAACATTTAGATCCATGCTGGCCACAAATGGCAAGCCCAGTTTGACAAGACTGTAAGAGGTCGCAGTACAAGCAGATCATCAGCAGAACCCAGGCAAAGAAAGCCTTTAAAGTCAACTCCTTCCATCAGGGACACCAGGGACTATATAGGAGAGCATTTTTTCCAAAAACTTTAGACCTTTAGACGATCTTGCAAGAAAGGCTCAGTTGAGTGATCTAGACCCTCTGCTGCCCATGGAAACTTCATCTTTGTCTGAACTAGGAGGAGGATGCTTTCTTTGAAGTGCCACGAAAGCAAGCCTCCACCCGATCTCATGAGGCCACAAGATGCACTCTCCTAGTGCCATCATGGATGGTGGGATGACCAGATCCTGAAAAAGGGTGCCATCAGAGGCAGGAGTGGAGGCAGCATCAGAGTGGAAGAGGCTGAAGACCTTGTGACTGAATGCAAAGAGGCAGGATGGACCACCAGGTTTTGTGGACACATCAGCTGTCTTCCTTCTGGGAGATCTGGGTGTTGTGTACTGTCAGGTTCTGGAAGACTGGACAAAATTACTTCACAAACAGTTACAAGGTGGTACTGTGGCACCAGTAAAATGGTCATTACACATATATTCATGTATGTGTACACATACATAATACATGATCTAGAGTTACGACCTGGTAAGGACAATTTTTTTTCAATATCGACATATAATGTTAATGTCCTATTTCTTGTATGATTGTATCCATAAAACCAGAGTTATTTTATTGATTATTATGCCTTCTTAAGTGTAAAAGGGTTTTAAAGCTGGAATTCAAATGTTTATCTTAAACGGGAGAAGACCATATCTGCTGCCATGTGTCGTTGTACATATAAAGGTGTCTGGGGTGAGTTGTGGCTGACTCATTCAGGGCTTCAACTAGCCTGTCTTGTGCCTATAACAATCCAAAGACACGCCAGCAGTCTCAGAAAGGACCAGTGTGCACTTTTGTCGGCATCATCACACAAACTCGCAGATACACACCCACGATTCCCCACACATTTGAACACAGTTTGCGAGTGGATGGAGCCAGTGGTGGGTTAAGCTGATTATACAGCTAAACTATCGGCTGTGAGCCTTCGTTAGAGTGCTGGATCTGACATTCAGTAAATGCCAGCCAGTCACTGGACTATTAGCAGGGCCCAGAGTGTTTGAGTGCGCATATTTGTGTGTGAGGAGTGGCTGCTGAGGGTATCAGTTAAATTGTAAATGTTAGTGTGAGCCTTGGATCTTTTTTGTCCCGCTTCCACTTATTTACGGGCCTCTTTGTGGACTGAGGGAGAGAAAGCAGGACAGTGTAAATGTTTGCATCTGTCTAAAGTTTGTTTAGGTTGTCTATGTGTCTCTGAGGTCCTATCATCAGTGAAGCCTGCTGTATCGAACCGCCACTATACCCCACTGTGTCCATTGTGTTTTGTTACGCTCGAATTGCAGTCCCATCGGAGATGATTTAACTGCTCACAATTGATCTGCAAGCAACACACACACACACACAAAAGAGAGGACCCTCCTGACTCATCCTGTTCACTTCTCGCTCACTATTTAAGAAAAGAAAAAGAAAATAGAGGCCTTCTCGTCATGTCTTCATCCCCTCACTTGTTTCTGGTTTTCTTCTTTTTTTTTTTTTTTTTTCTCTGTGCCCCTTCTCAGCAAATTGGATGCCTTCATCTATGATGCAGCGGTGCTAAACTACATGGCTGGAAGAGATGAGGGATGTAAGCTGGTGACCATTGGCAGCGGGTAACTAAAGCTACATTTCTTTGAAAGTGTTATTTTTAGTTTAGTTATTAAAGTAAAGGCAAAATTATGGTTTACGGAGGTTCCCATATTGCGGGTTGCACAGTTCAGTCTATTTAGATGTGTCTGACTATGCAAACCTTATCGATAAATACACGTCTTGGTTCATTTGAATACTCTGAGATCAGTGCTCTTTCTACAACCAAATGCAAATTATATCAAAGCTGCAGCAGGTTGACTGACTCAGTTTCAATTTTTTACTGCCTTTAAATGTATTGTGTTTATCCTATAAAAGTGCAAAAGTTCTAAAGCTACACTTTTCCAAACCTGCCTGTTTTTGCATAATGACTATTTACATATATATTTACACACACACACACACATATATATTTATATGTATATACATAAATGTATGTGTGTGTGTGTGTGTGTGTGTTTTTTATATGCTTTTTGCTTTTTCCAATTTCCACTGTTCTATGGAAAACAAAGTATCCTTAATCTTGATGCAGTGTTGACATAATGAGAGAGAACACTTAAATTAAGTTAAATTTGAATTACATCTTTATAAATTGTTACAATTGATCTCTTTCAGAAAATAAATCTATGCTATTGTCATTTTCAAGGACAGAGGAAAAAGTCTAGAGCAGCCTCTGCTGTCATCTCATCATTACCTCATTGTTTTGTCCTTCTGCAGTAAGTTGAGTGGTGAATGTAGATCACTGAAACTGGTTGTACTACGATACTTTCCATTCAAATTGGAATGGAAAGTCATCGTTTTAACAGCAGACTTTCCCAGATATTTGTGGCAGGGCCGCAAACCAAAATAAATAGGCACAAATGAAAGTTCTATTGGTGCGACTGTAAACGTGACAACCAGAAAGGTTGGATCATTGTAAAAGAAGTGGAGGGAGCTAGAAAAAAGGTATGTATCACTGAAAAAAACATGGGAAAAATTTCAAACAATCACATGAGTATTGTATTTGTAAATCTGAAACGGAGCAGTTTATTTAAATATATATTTAAAATTATCTGTAGGAAGTTAAGGGTAGTTATGAGCAGCACTTCAGTCATTCAAATCACCTTAATTGTCAGATTGTGAAGTTCACAGACATTGCCCGTGCATTGTTGTCACGTATTGAAGTTTGTGTCATATTTTGATCGCTTTTAGCTTCCATCCATGACCTAAATTATCATATCATTAAAACCATTTCTATATGCAAATAATACGTGCATTATTATTCACAAAGTGTCAAACTCACGGTGTCGCCATCTGGAGGAATAAAGGTTGATATTTCTGCTCAAAGGTTAAAGTGTGTGTTTCCGCGCGTGTGCGTGTGTGTATGTGTGGATGTGTCTGGTAATGCTTGTTTTCAGGTACATCTTTGCGACCACCGGTTACGGCATTGCTCTGCAGAAGGGCTCCTACTGGAAGCGACAGGTGGACCTGGCTATCCTGGCTATCATTGGAGATGGTGAGAAGCTCACTCACACCGTTTCCTGTGTGCAACTTCCCTTTCACGTGTGTCGCTAACTGAAAGGTCAAAGGTTACATTGCCAACATTTGGCATAAATGCGCGCTCACACAAATATATACACACTGTCTTACTGACTAGGTTGTAGACAGCAAAAAGTAGCAAAGTATAAATAGACCTTTGATGTTATTCTGGACACAAAGGCTGCTCCAAACACAGGGCAGAGTGTGTAAATTATTCTAATATATTCCTCTCTGCAGAACCAAAGCTGTGTGTGTGTGTGTGTGTGTACACTCCACTCTCTCTGAATCACAACATTCTTTTATTACAGTATCCTCTCAGGTTTTTTCCATAAACAATTTCTTGCCGCAAAACAGAGAAAGTGAGACAGCGAGAGCTTTTAGTGACAGATTCACTTTCATTTTACAACAGGAGCATTTTGCTGATGCGAGCGTTCTCAGCCACTGGCATAAAGTGCATTGAAGTTGATTAAATGAACATTGGTGTTGCAATAATCCTGTCTAACTGAAAGTTATCAGGGCTTCAGAGTATGCGGGCAAAACACGATCAGGAAAATGACAGTGCTGTGTGTAATGGTCAGCAAGAAGGCAAAGAAAAAAAAAAACCTAACATTGGAGGAGAAAAGGAAAGGAGAGGAGTTAGAGGAGGGCTGCTCTTTGATAGATGACACAGGCTTTCATCGTGGCAGGTGATAGTTGATCATGTGGACACAATGTGGGAGGAGAGCATATGGCACTTGATGGAGGGACACAGAGGTCTCTTTGTTTTAGGGTTACAAAAACATTTTTGGGAGGCAAACATTATAACCAGAATGACAGTCAAGTACAGTAAGGTTAGGCAGCAATAGCAATATAATGTTCTTTTTTCGAAAAATCATAGATGAATGCGATTGCCTTATTAGTGAAGAACATGCAGAAACTTTAACAAAAGTACGAACTTATTTTGTCTTTATCATTTAAAGTGTGTCTATTATTCATTCAGACTTGACAGGTGACAGCAAATACAGAAGTTCATGGTGTAGATTAAAAAGAAAAACTGGGTGAGATCATCAGTTTAGTTTTATGAAAATACAATAAAAAACGGAGATAACTTTTTTTTAATTGCAAGAACTCGCACAGTGTGAAATCAATTTTCAAAAATCGCCAATGCTTAAAAATCGATGTAATGAACTCCTCTTTTCTTCAGCACAGTCTCAAACCTCTTCAACAGGCTTTCTTGGGGTAGTTTTAAGGACTATTTCTTCAGGCCTCTTGACGGATAACCTCTTCTCTCATATAGTCTCAGACCGTTTCGGCAATGATGCTCACGTCAGATCTTCTTAAGAACCTCTTTTTAGGAAACTCAGTGTCTTCTGTAGGTGTTGTTTTTAAGTCTGAAAGTCTTCCTGTCCTACTCTTGTCATGTTCCCTGACATCCTTTAAGGACACACCTCAGAACAGGGGTTCCCAAAGCCGGTCCTCGAGGGCCGCTGTCCTGCAGCTTTTAGAAGCTTACCTGCTTGAACACACCTGAATTTAGTCAGGGTGCCCTTATCGGGATTGTGCAGAGCCTTTGAACTGATCCACTTAATCAGAATCAGGTGTGAAACAGGGAAACCTCTAAAACCTGCGGGATACCGGCCCTCGAGGCCCGAGGTGGGGACCCATGCTGTTTCAAATTTACTGTTTTGTTGAAAAAATCTCAGTGAACATGTGTTATTGTTATTGTGTGCACTCTTTCCCTTTTTTTTCGAGACATTTAGTTACAGACATGTGAACAAACAGTGCTGCTTTTTAAGAATAAGTTGATACATTGTCTGTTAGGTATTAGAATAACATCTTATTGTTTCGTAGAATGATTCTAATGTGGGTGGTAAATACTATAAAAAACAATAATACAGACAGTCCTCTGAGAAATTGACAGGTCTGAAAACCGGAGTAAAAATCTGTTTCTGAACAAAAACTTTTATTTTTTAAAGGAGCTGATTACCAAAGAGATATGTATAAAAAATAAAAAATAAAAACTCAGAATGCCTGGAGCTTAAGACCTTTTCAAAAGATGACAAGAAAATCTGAAGCAAAAGCAACAGAAATCAGAGGTGCCCCTCAGACCTTTTCACAGTTCTGTAGAGTCTTCTAAATAAGACATTTATTTATTCTGAGGCTAGAACTTTTACTTCTGTATTCCAACAGGCTTTAGCGTCAGCCCTTTCAGTCCTTATACTGTCAGAGAAAAAATTGCAATATTAGCAACAATCTACCATCAATTTGGAGCTGCAATTTGAGCAGTAGCCACTCCCAAATCTGTAAATGTTCTTGATTTAAAAGAAAAAGGAAAAACCTCTTGATACATAAAGAGTTAACTTCATTCATGGGATATCATAATGTGATTAAAAAGATACATCTTTGGTAGATCCATTAGTGTATTTACAAATGTTAAATGTGATATATCTCCTTAAGTGCAGTTAAGGGTTAATGATGGCTGAAGCACACAAAGCGGAACACCACTGTGGTATTTGTCTTTCCCCTATACCAATCTTAGTTATCCAGCCCAGAATGACACAGATTGGATTAGCAACGTGCCAAATGTCACTGAGGAAACCAGAGTGGTAGGGGAACCGGAGGGACGGGTACACAGAGTGAGGAATGAGAAAAGATAAGGTCTTTGTTGCCTTACCGCTTCCATTTAATGACACCAAACAAACAATCCCTTTGACCTACCTGGCAGTATATAGGAGCCTTTGAGCCCAGTACCTAGTGACATAAACACGAGCATTTAAGAAGTAAGGTACACTATTGTCCATCATCATGACATAATGTCCGTGATGTGCGATCTGGTGAAGTTTGTCAGTGAGTTTCACTTTGGAACCGGCCTCTTTGTAATGATATGACTCATTAGTAGATACCATGTTGACATGGAATTGGCCTTTACAGTTTGTTTAATTTTTGGAGTTTCAAGCAGTCCAGAGTATGTGTTTGCAGCTATGAGTCATGGGATTTCTTAAAGTGATGAAAGTGCAGTGCGGAGATTTGTTTGTCTGATCTCACTGTCTTTGGAGTCAGTTTATTCGATTGGTGGCAAGTGTTTATCTCCTGTAATGTTACTCCCAATTGAGCCATTTGCCCAATCACCTGATGCCCTATGATGCCTGACAGGAGCTTAGAAGTTGTACAAAAGCAGGTTACTGGCCAGTAGTTGGATATATATATATTCATTAAATATATACCTCTACCATCTTAACTATTGACTAGTACTCCATATACAGTTAGCATTTTCAAATTCTATGCACTTAAAGTTAATCAAATTAAGAGGGATGAGACATGGAAAACTTGTTTGCCTGATTTAAGAATGATATATGCAGAGGAAAAACGCCAATGCATAAATCACGAAATAGAATAGCCTGTACTCTTTGCAAAATAGTTATTGAAGTTTCTATCGGGCCAACTGCAAGAAGGCCTTGAGAAGATACTTTCTGACAGAAATATTAGGCCTTGGACAATGATTTTGTTTTTTCACAATCACAACTCATTGTAAAAATTATATATTGATTATCAATATAATATGACTTTAATAGAGACATGTTATTAATATTTACATTTCAGGTGAGATGGAAGAACTGGAAGCCCAGTGGCTGACAGGAATTTGCCACAATGAGAAGAATGAGGTGATGTCCAGTCAGCTGGACGTGGACAACATGGCAGGCGTCTTCTACATGTTGGCCACTGCTATGGGGCTCTCCCTCATTACCTTTGTCTCGGAGCATCTGTTTTACTGGAGGCTTAGATACTGCTTCACCGGAGTCTGTTCGGGCACGCCAGGCCTTCTCTTCTCCATCAGCAGGGTAAGGAGCAACAGTGTCTGTGGCATTTATATTTGCTTGTGCAGCCAAGTTTTGCAAACTTTCCTTCTCTGGTTCAGGAGAGAAAAATAACACCCCTTCAGCATTACTTTTTTTGTAAAAAAAAAACTAATTTAAGCAAAGAGAACACAAATATGCAGTTGAGCATGAAAACAAATGAAAATGGGGATGTGTTCTCACTGTATTAACAGTGGTCCTGATCAAGACTGAGGTGCAGTGAAGCACTGCAGCTATACCAGAGAAAAAATGTTGCACGATCAGGGTTGGAAAAGTATTCCTTCAGAATATTTTCTGCCAACTGCGTAAGAGTAGAAAAGGCATACATATGTGAAGACAGAGAACTACTGGGAAACTAAAACACTGACTGAGGTAAAGGAGAGGAAGGGAGGGTTGAACAAATGAGGATGAGAGGAAAGGATGGGGGTGGAGGGGGGGGGGGGGGGGGGGGGGGTCACAAGGCAGCCCTGAATATCGATAAAAATAGATCTTAATTGCAGCATTTTCTTCTTTCTGTTTTTTTTGGTGAAACCACAGGAACCCAAGTTTAATCAATGTATTCTCTCTCATTCTGCTAAAAGGTCAGCATTCTCTCTGGCTGTGTGTGAGAACACCAGACATGGACATGCATCCCTAAAAGCACTGCAGTGTCTCTGCACTATTTTTAAAGCAGTATGGCTCCGTATGCGGACGTTATCAGAGGGAGGCAGCGAGGGGTGTAAAAAAGAACTTAGATAGAATTGAGGGACGTTATTGAGAAAAATGACATTTCAAAGCCGTTATCACAAGTAATTTTAAGTCAAAATGGTCATAATTTCAGGACAATTTCACTAGTCTTTTGATCCCGTGTATGAAAGTTTCGTCTTTTTATGTGATTGTTTAGTGGTTTTCATGCTCGCTTTTAAATAGTAATAGTTTTTGGTCTGGTCTTCTGTTGTCTAATTTTCTATCTGAAACGGCCTCCCAAGAGTGGTATTGCTTCTCGCTTTCAACAGTGAAAGATCAAAGTTGGGATAATATTGGTGGAGTTTATCATCCTCAGAGTTTATGGAAAGTTGATTTGGGGTAAAAGAAACAGGAGGGATGGAACTAGCTTCTCAGAGGTTCCTGCTGATCATAGAGTTTGAATGAACTCTATGTGCACTGGGTAGTTTTTGAAATAATACAGACTTTTAATTGTAAAATAAAGTTGGGCTGTAGAATTAATGCAGCTGCCGAAAGGCTTGTTTCATTGTATTGCATCATATACTGTATGTGTCCCCTTTGGAAAACATACAATCTTTGATAACTATGCACTGCTACTGAAGACTTTATGCTTTTCTGGTTATAAATGTTCCATTCTTTTAATGTGTTTGGAATGAGTCACAATACACATCTTTATTTTCCTCCTAACCTAATCAAATGTAGCTGTTTTTAAAATTCATATTTTAAATTTAATCAATTTCTATCTCTACTTTGGGCCTTGCTCAAATTTTCCTGCCCTCATTTCATAATGTGGCAAACAATTCAGTCACTATGGTTTACTAAGTCATTGCCGATGCAATTCATTTTCATAAAGCCTAAAGAGCACTGATATATTTGGCTAAAGCATGTAACTAATCAGCATTCTTCTTGTCCCTCTGTTTCTTTCCTCTTCTCTTTTGCTGTTTCATTCTCTTCTGCTCTTTTCATCTATATTCACCATATTTTTGTCCTACACTTTCCATTCTTGTTCATCCATATGTCTTACTCAGGGAATCTGGAGCTGCATCCATGGAGTCCACATTGACATGAAGAAAAAGACAGATCTTGACTTCAGCCCCCAGGACAAAATGCTGAAGCTCATTAAGTCTGCCAAACAGATGACCAACATGTCTAATCTGAGTGGCTCCCGCATGAACTCACCCAAACGAGAATTCATGCACTCAGCTGGCCCTATGATCATGGACATGATGGCAGAGAAGGGCAACTTTATCTATGCTGACAACCGAAGCTATGCTCCCAAAGACATGATCTATGGGGACACGGGTGACTTGCAGTCTTATCTTACTAACCGCCATAAGGACCACCTTAACAACTATATATTCCAAGGTGGTCAGCATCCTTTGACCCTGAATGACGCCAATCCGAATACGGTGGAGGTAGCAGTGAGTGCTGACGCAGTCCAGACCAATGCCAAACCGCCGCGTACTCTGTGGAAGAAGTCGATGGACACGCTTCGCTCTGCACCTCCAGGGCCCTCACCGATGCCTGACATGCTTATGCCAGACCCACGACTGTCCATGAAAACACAGCGCTACCTCCCCGAGGACGCAGCCCATTCTGACATCTCCGACTGTTCAAGCAGGGCAGCGTCGTACAAGGACCCAGAAAACAACAAGCACCTGAAACCCAAGGACAACTTAAAAAAAAGATCGGTGACGTCAAAATACCCAAGGGATTGCAGTGAAGTTGAGCTGTCCTACTTAAAAACTAAGCAGGTCAGTGGCGGAACCAACCAATCTGGAAGAGGAGTAGGAGAGAAAATTTACACTATTGACTCGGACCGAGATCTGAGTCTCCATTCAGACCCCATGCACTATCACGAAAGTCACGGTCTCGCCGCAGATGATTTAGATTACCCTGAAATTTACTCCGACCAAAGTGAGAATTACAGAAAATGTGAGCAACCCATTATTCATCTGAATTCGTCCCCCTTGCATCACACAGATTCTGATCTTCTGCCGGACTCAGCCTACTCCAAGCACTACAACCTGAAAGAAAAAAACCTTTCTCTGTCCCCTCATGAATCCATTGACCGCTACAAACAGACACACTGCCGTTCCTGCTTATCCAAAGTGACCGCTAGCTACCAGCCTGGAGGGTCATACACCCCTGCTGCGACTTCCTCAGCTTCTGGCACACGCTCCCCTTACAATCGCTGTGAGGCATGCCTACACACAGCCAACCTATATGATATTAGTGAAGACCAGCTCCTCGCCGACCCCTTGGGCAGTCCTACCCTACACCACCAAGAGCAGCAGGAGCCAGACGAAATGTTTGGTCTGTATTGGCCTCAGACAGATGGGCCGCATGTTCAAAAGAGAAACCGCTTGAGGCTGAGCCGTCAGCACTCCTTTGACAACATCATGCTTGAAAAGCCTAAGGATGTGGACCTGGGCCGACCAGCGCGCAGCGTTAGTCTGAAGGAGAAGGACCGCTTCTTGGACTCCACATCTGACTCACACTATGCGAACCTCTTCGGCATGCGTCCCTACTCTGGTCGATTATTTGGCTCTGGATCAAAATCAATGTTCTTTAACCACAACCTGGAAGAGAGCAAGAGGAGCAAGTCCCTGTACCCAGCCCATGTTTCGGACAACCCTTTCCTCAGCCACTCGTTGAGGGATGATACCAGCAGCAGACTGGTCCATGGGCGTAGCTCCTCTGATATTTACAAACAGCTGGCAGGAGGTTCTCCTGTGGCAGCCCTTGGAGCAGCCCCCATCAAAACGCGCAATGATGCGAACAATCTCCGCTCTTCTGTTAAATCCACCTCTTCATACTGCTCAAGGGATGGGCGGATAGCTAATGACATGTACAATAAAGAGCATGTGATGCCTTACTCATCCAATAAGACTAGTGCATACCCAGGGTCGCGTGGCGTCCTAAACTCAGCCCAGTTCAGCAATAGACGGGTGTATAAAAAAATTCCCAGTCTGGAGTCAGATGTTTAGTTGATATAAGGAATATTGTGTTCTCTCCTTAATGCTCCTCTCTGGGTTTGTATTATAATTTATCAACTATGTTATCCAATAAGGGATGCCATAGCCACACTTTGTTTTTCTTCTTGTTGTCAACATTGTAACCGAAAAGAACTTACGCCCACTTGGGTGTGACGGTATTACAACTATTCTCTTTACAGACAATATCACCATCTCTGTCACTTGTCTCCCATGTACCAATGAGCTGGCTTCATGGCTAGCACTCTGCCATAGGGTATCCAAGTATAAGAATGAGATGGGGAAACACTTATCCTTAGGTTTTAAAAGGAAAGAAGATGGAGTAGGTCCATTAGTTAGATTGGAGAGCTTATGTTGCTGTTTTGTGGAACACTTGCAAAAAGTGTTTGGAAGGGGTCCATCAATACCAGCTCGGGCTGCGTGGCGAGGCTAGAGTGGTGTTATAACAGAGGGAATAAGCAGTAAAGAAGGATCCAGTTAGCTTCCTTCTTCACTTTGTCTTTTTCCACCTCCACTGTCAGGCATGGGGCTCACTAGTTGAGGTGAAGAGGACTGACAGGGAGACCAGATGGGTGGGCCAGACATGGAGGCATCCCAGGAGGGCCGGGGTGTCATGGAGAGCTCGTCCAACGGTCTGCTGCTTGTTACTTGGACAAATGTTGCTACTGAGACACCTGGCAGTGGGGGAGGGGAGACAGGAAGGAACAGTGTGAGCAGCTAAATGACAGAGTGGTGAACCCAGTCATTTGTGGCAGATAGAGATTGCAAGTTTAGCCGGAATGTGGTTGACTGTGTTAAGCCCAGGCAATGGGACGCCACGAGGAAAAGATGAGCTATGTAGGTGCTATCAAAGAATAATGTTTACAGACTGACAAAATGACTGATAGAAAGGGAAAGAAAAGCACGAAGACCTGAGGCAAGAGATGGGCATTTCATTTGTAGCACTGCATATAGAAAATAATAGCAAATTATTGCTTTTTTATTCTATTGATCTATAAGATTTATAAGGGATTCTGGCATTCAGATCCCCATATGTAGGATTTTAGTGTTTGCTTATTTGGTAGCACAATAGCCATTAGTTTTTTTAAACCTCTCCCACATTTGCTTTTGAAAAAAGCATAGCTTACTGAAAAATACCATCGAGAGTAGTAGATTCTTTTGCATGTGTTGATTTGTTTTCTGTGTCAGAGAAGAGAGAATACACACAAATACAATCTCAGATGCATATCTTACATGTTTTTTTAAAGGGGCTTGAGACTTGCTGGATGTGTCGGATGGATATTTGTACAATCGAAACTTTGATTCTTGACCTTTGTGCTTAGTAAACCTGTGTCATGCTGGAGCTGCAAAACCACACGATGACAATGGAAGGGAAGAGAGCAAAGATGAGAATAATACATGGGAGAAAGGATGAGGACACAGTCGCATCCACTGTCAATGTATCAGAGGTGGACGCTGATGTGTGTTTTGTATTTTGACCTCCCTCCCACTGAGAAACAGGGTATTTATCTATGAAAATCACTGATGATTCTTTCCTTCCTTTCCTTCTTCCCTTCCTCCATCAATGTGACACATCACATGTATGATTAATAGCAGTGAGTGTTTTATTTTTGCGGGGTTCGTGCCATGACAGCAGTTTTATATTGTTTTTAATGACTTCAGTCAAAGTTAAGATCTTGTTTAGAACTTTGGTTGACCCAACTGTTTGTTGATTTTACCAGGGCTCTTGAGGATGTTAAGATGACTTAAGACTGATCCCTCTTTGCCTTTATCGTGTTGTTTAGGCGGGATGTCGGAGGGAGGTGGGTGGTACTGGAGGGGTGGATCTGAGGAAGCTCCACTGTTATGTATTCATCAATAACATATCCATCTGTGAAGATTAAGTGATGCCTGTGCACATGGTTGAACTTTTGTAAGCTCAAAGCGTTAACCAGAACACATGGTTTTTGATCTGATTGTTAATTCATTTATTTATTTTGTTTTGTTTTTCTTTTTGAAAGCACTTAGCTAAGAAAGACTTGCACATGCACATACTTCCATTTCCACTTGTGCCCACTTAAAATTTTTTTTCTAGCATAAAACTGTACAAATTGTACAGTTAAGAGAAAAATCGTTTAAAAAAAGATCTTTAATGGCTGATTTGCTTGATTGATTGGCCTCACAAAGCCAAATTCTATCAAATAAAATACCTCAGGAGGATTCTGCGCATTTTTGGGGAGCTGTAGCAACAGAACACAGTGCGCCGCAGGTTTTTTGTAGAAAATGAGATTTAAAGAAAAAAAAATATTTATAGCGGCTACAAAACAGAATCAAGCTTTTCTCCTTCTGATGTTTACCAGTCCAAGGTCTTCCAGTTCGGCACTGCGTCCGAGCTCTTGCAACCCAAGTAAATCAAGAAGAGGAAGAGAAGGAGGTGAGAAAAAGGGATGATGCTAGAGGGGCTTTAGACGGTTTTACTCACCGGGTGTGTCACCTGGAGTTCTACTTCTTGCCGAGCACCCTTGAAGGATGAAGGATGTTACCTAAACATCCTAAATTAAGAAAAGTTACCCTCCTCTGGAACACACATATGGCAGTCTCTCTCTTTCCTCTCTGTGGGTTTTTTTTCTAATGGCAGTAGACTTCATAGGCCACTGTGTTTCAATTCCAGCTCCAACTTTTTCATTCTTGAAAATCACTGTCTTATCACTGTTTTCTACTCTCGGGATACAGCAGTGAACATCTCCTTGCTTCCCAATCAGCTTACCCCGCGTTGACTGAAGAACAACATTATTCCTTTTCTTAAGTCGCATATTATCTGCATATTTATTCTTATCATAGTTACCTCCACATGCTGCTTGTATAAGCTGACAAGTGAACATTATGCACATGTAAAAATATCAAAGGCACCATTGTGGTTTTATGAACTCATGATGATTTGTTCATTTTCTTCTACTTTTACAGAACTGTCACGTAAACTGATGCTGTTTTATGTTCAAACACACACACACACAAACACTCTCAGACACAACCTTGTGATGACAACCCTGCTCTTTTTAATGCAGAAAAATGTATTTTAATTACATTTAATGATAATTAATGAGGTGATGGCATGCAACCCCAAATGTAACAATTTTTTTTATGTTTTTATGTTCTTTTTTTTCTTTGTTTGTTTGTTAATTTTGGTTATGATGTTATGATCAATAATGCATTGTAACCAGGTGTGAGTATATACATATTTGAGAGAAAAAAAAATCTGTATTAAACACAATGAAGATGCTGCTGCTGTTTTGAGGGAGAAGGCAAGGACCTGACCCCCATGAAACTGGCTGGTCCTTATCAGGCCAAATTTTGTCCACAGGAGTGGCAGGTCAGGGGTCAGGGCTTGGCTTGCTATGACGGGACATCCTTGCTCTTCCTCCGATTGGCAGGTGAGAATTACCGTATCACCAGCTCTGCTTCTCTCTTCCCTCTCCTTCATGTGTAGTCAGGACTTCAACTGTAAAGAAGATAGAAGAAAAAAACAACCCTCTACTTTGAGTCTGCTATCCCTCCAAAGATACAAGACCTCTTTCTTTGTTTGCTGTAAGAATATAGCTTTTTTTTAAACTAATACTTCCTCAAAGACTTTTAAGGAACTATTTTGAATATATTTAGAAAATACACCTGTAAACATCGCTTGTAAATTCATTCTGGAATACATCATCATGGAGAATTATAAAGAGTAAAAACAATATTTTTTGTGTGAATTTCACAAGAGCTCTTCTGTACAGTGGCACTGTTTATCTCTCTTTCTCTTTCTATCTCTCTCTTTCTCTCTCTGTAGAGCGACTAGAATAAAATTTCACCATTCACAAGGTTTGCTGTCCTGTCACAATGTCCTGTCACAACAGGTTTTCCTCATCTTGCGGAAAAGTGATCTCTTTTGTCACTTGAAGGAAATGGATTATCACTGTGGAAATGAGAGAAAGGGCTGGTTGATTCTCCACTGACTTTTTTTTATTTTGCTTCTAAACATGTCTCAAAAAGTTCTATATCTATTCACAAGAAACAGGTTGCACAGATTCAGTCTGTTACTTGGTGTTCACATGGAGAGTCAAAGAAAAAAAAAAACAGCTAATCCTGTAATTGTCACCACAGCCTTTGCCTCAGAGAGTGCACCTGTGTCTTTGCATCTATTTGAACTTGTTTATGTATTCTATTACAGGTTTTTTCAATTTATTTTCTATGCTTTTAGGTAGTTTGATGCATACATTATCTCAGTTTAGATATGAATGAATATGGATGGTTCTCTACTACGTCATTTGCATTAAGTACAAACCACACTTTGCACTATAACAGTAAACGTAAATGGTATGAAAAAAGTTCAGTTACCATACGTTAAACTGAAAAGAGGAATCATTTAATTTTTGGCATCTTAGTTGTGGAACATGAGGGGAACATGGGTCAAGAGTAAAAATAAAGGAATGCATCACAAACAAAAAACAAAAAATGCATGAACTCACAGAGCACAGCATCAGGGCTTACAGGAAGAGGAACAGCGAGTCCTGCTTCATGTCCAACTGATGAACCTTTGATCTGCTTATGGGGTCATGTGACCATGTGTGCAGATGAGGATGAAGACAGAGATGTACGGATGGAGCATGGTATGTTGGCTATTTTCTTAACAATATACAACACAATATGATCAACCCACATGTCGTATTCATACTCTTCCACACAGCTCTTTCCGTTTTAAACAAACATTTATTATGAGTATGCAGGAAATCTTAAAGTTAGAGTAAGGCAGTGAAAGTTAAAATAAAGAGGTGTGTGAACCATCTTAACCACAGCTGAGTTAACCTGTAATATCAAAACTAATAACAAAACATGACATTTGATCCAAATATTTGATTGGTGAAAGCTCACTGCATTTGATTTTTCTTCTTTGTACATAAGTAAAAGGGGTCGGTGTGGTTTTTGTATGTACCGTATTTATAATTTAAGCAAATGATCCCCGGTGAGTCGGCCTA